TGAAGTTTTTTTTTTTTTTTTTTTTTTTTTTTTTTTTTTTTTATTGTGGCATTTTGTTATCCTTTATGCCAATGACAAGTAAAAGGAAGGAAACAGTGGTTTTGTTGAAATATAAATTTATTTCAACAGGACTAGGAAGCGGAATTTGGAAAAAGGAAAATAATCAAGAAGATTTACGATACATATATTCAATGTGATAAAGTATTATTAATTACAGAATATTTAGTTTTATTAATATCGTATTTACACAAATACACATAATATATATACATATATACACACACATATATAAATATATATATATATATATATATATATATATATATATATATATATATATATATATATATATATATATATATACCCATATATACACACACACATACGCATACATTTATATATATAAACCTATTAACCAAATTATACTATAGTTTTATAGCATTTTTCTGAATAAATGAAGCTAATGTTTTATATACACAAGGGTCGTTATATGCTAAAAGGAATGGTATATTAATAGGAAAAGGTATCCGGAGCAATAGAAGATCAGTAAAAAGAGAGGAGCGGTCATATAATGGGCAAGAAAGGAAAATATGGTTCAAATTTCCTTCTTCCGTTCCACAAGCACATAAAGAAGTATCTACAACATGAATCTTAAACAGAAAAGACGGAGAACAGCAGTGACCTAATCGCAAACGAATTAAAGAACTAGTACAATATTTATTTAAATTGACTTGAGTGTACCAAGGTTTATTTGGAATTGTCGGTTGAATTGAGGAGTAAAAATGAAGTTAATAATGGGTCAAAAAGAAACCCGCAGAGACTTGTCCTAAAAGACAGGCATAGATCAGCAGAATTTAGTAATAGTTGTTTTATTGACATGAAAATGCCGAACGTCAGTTTAAAAAGTTACATAAGTGTTAAAGTAACTTTAGTTGGTGCCATTAATATTTTGCATGCTATTTATAAATAAGCTTAACATGTAGTTCAATAGTATAATTTGTAACACCTCTATATCATGTTGTTCTTATAGGGAGAGTAAAAAGTACGAAGCGTGAAATTGTAGTTTAGATACAATAATTATAATACAAAATGTAACCGATATATCGGAACAAATATATCGGCCAAATATATCGATATATTTTTAAAAAAAGTCGATATATCGATATTTTTTCGGCATCCATAGCGCCAACATCGCAATCTGACATCCGGTATCAACAAAACAAAATTAACTAGAAGTTATAATCAAAGAGTAGTACTACTCTTAGAGTACTTTAGTATCTAATGAAACTTTTATACTTTAGTATATTTAGTATATACTGGTTACAATACAACATCGTTGTTAGAAAAACGACCATTTCTATTCTCTATCTTAGATGGTTTCAAATTAAATTGTGAAGAAGATGTTTGGTTATTTTTGATAGGGTTTGATCACAAAACAAGAATTTTGAAAAGGAGTGGAAGGAGGCGTACAAACATAGTCAAAAAAATTGGCCTTATTTAAATATTTCGACTAAGGTGTAATGACAACCATGGAGAATGACCAGACTAAAACATTAAAATATCTTGTTTCAGTAGAAAAATTGGCTGAAGAAATATTGTCTGATAGACAGGAAATTGTTTTGTTAGATAAAAGAAGAAACCACAATCGAGAAGCTCTACGCGATATTACAAAATCTTCTCAAACTAAATGTTGGGTAACTATAGGGTCGGTTCTTGTAAAACATGATGTTGCAGCTACAAAATCTCTCTTAGAATCTGATCAAAATCAATTAAACATAGATATTAATAGACTCAGATCAGATCTCAAAGTTAAAGTTAATAAATTGAGGGATTTAGAAATGCAACCACCTGTGCCAGGCATAATGTTAGTGCCAATGTCACATAATGAAACACAAGGATTATCAAAGTCTGGTTTATTTTCTAGATATTGAATATAATTTAATTATATTTGTATATAATTTGTGTTTGTACGTTTTTGTCAGATACTAAATGTAGCAACCATAACTTTGTCTAATTATTGTTCACAAAATTATAGTACATAATGATAAAATAATATTATTGTTAATTTTTTTTTATTTAATACATACTGTATTCCCTAATTATTTAAAAAAATATTGTTTAAACCTCAAGACTAAACAAAAGGCAAACTTAATGCTAATAAGCATTCTCTTCCAGTCAACCCTGGGAGTAGAGAAAGTTTGACACAGGTGTAAAAAAAAAAACATGAAATAAAGAAAAATAAAATAAAATAAAAAAAGCAAAGGTTCAATATAATATTATGATACCTTGCTTGGTGCATTTTTCTGATGAACTGAGGCAAGGAGTTCCAGGGTAGTATAGTCTGAATAGTAAAAGATTTATGTAAGAAGCCAGAATGATGCATAGGAGTACAGAGCATTCTATTGGCTGAAGAATGAAGTGCTGTATTGTGAGTTAATGAGAGATATTGGAATTTTTCCAGTTGCAGAGTAGTATAGTCTTAATAGTAAAAGATTTATGGAAGAAGCCAGAATGATGCATCGGAGTACAGAGTATTCTACTGCCTGAAGAATGAAGTGCTCTATGTGTGTGAGTTAGAGATATTGGAATTTTTCCTTTAAGTATAGAAGTGTAAGTATGTGGTTCCTTAGAGTGAGAAGAATTCTAGAACTACGTCTTTGACGAATAGTAAGCCATTTAAGTTGGGAACGATATTGAGATATCTGATCAAATTTACGTAAGCCTCAAATGTAACTAATCCAGTTATTGTAGAGACGCTCCAGCTTATTAAAGCTTGGTTTAAATCCGAGCAGCAGACATCTGCATGATCTAAAATGTGTAAAATAAGGGAAATGACAATAGACATTTGCAACTCCCGTAGGAATGCAAATGCGATGCCATTTTTAAATAAAATTGGGGCCCGGCTACTTCACTCACCCAATGAGACGCAGGAGTGTAACACTTCTAATTTACGCCGGTCTTTTGCGAGGTCGTGGTACTTACCCGGACCGACCTATCCATTCGTGACAGTGCAAGTTATTGCGTGGTCGTACCACAGTTCTTCTAGGATCGTCGTTCATCGTGAGATGGTGTTAGTGGGTCTGGGTTGCCTGCTTAGCGATCATTGAAGGGCGAATCTGTCTGGAAGCATTCAGCCATTCTCCATTGCTATAAGGTAGCGTGTGAACAGCGAGGATATTTTGATATCCATATGGGCGATTTTTAGTGACTATTTCAAGCAGTGCTTAGAAATTACGTCACCTGTGAGCCTTGACGCTGTCCTTTATGTGTATAATTTTATCTATTCGGCGATAAGTAAACTGAAGCTGCTACAGTGGGTAGATCATTCATAGATTTTTCATACGGACGTTTCTATCTATTATTATTAACTATCTCGGGCGGTTCAGGTCGACACAATAAAGGTCACCCTGTAATAAATAATTGTTCCACTGATGTTATAATTGATGATTTTATTAAGCAGCTACTCTAAAATTGTGTTTTTATTGTGATAGTTTAGTGTCGTATGCCCATCACATCCATAATTAGTACAGACATTTATTTCAAGAATAGATTTTTCTAACAATGGCGCCAGTTTTCTGAAACACTGAACATCGTAGGATTTAGCCAACTAATCAGCTGTAAATGTCATTAAGAAAAAAGATGGTTAAACTCCTTGAATTGATTATTCTGAATTCCTATAGCGTTTTTGCCCATTTTTAAAAGAATTGACGTTTTAAGTTTCTTGAGTCTTAGTCTAGCAGAAAAAACAAAAAAACCGCACAAGTGCGAGTCGGACTCGTGCACGAAGGGTTTCGTACCATTATCTATAAAAACATGTCTATTGTACGAGTCCCACTTAAATATTTTTTTATTATTTGTTATAGCGGCAACATAAATACATTATCTGAATCATGAAAATTCAACTTTCTAACTTGTTTATCAGATACAGCCTGGTGACAGACAGCGAAGTGTTAGCAATAGTCCCATTTTACCCTTTGGGTATGGAACCCTAAAAATTAATCATATTGTTTGAATAAAGTGGTCGGTATTTACAATATTATTACATATTTGATATAAGTCTTGTCTTTTACTTCTTTTCCCATTTTACATAAACTTTGGTTGGTTGTAAAGTTGCTTGCTATGCTTTTATTAAAACCGAATATTATATGTCCTTACAAAATAAAAGAAACAATTTCTTCATTTTTTTATTGGGCTAAGGTATTTTTCAAATAAAAGTCATCAAATATATAATTTTCAATATGCACAGTTACATCTTTATACATGTAAATAATATAGTACATAACAAATAAATAATAAATAGTACCAAATTTTAGGATTCATCCATTCATAAAATTATTGCTGTTTGGTGTGAATAGTATGATACACAGTGACTTGACTAAGTGCCAATTTGTTAAGAGAAATTTTCTCAGCGAGAGGAGTAATAATTTACAGCATCTAACATGTAATCTATTTGTCAGAAAATTTATAATCATTTCGTTAAACATGGCCTTATTTGTTAAATTACCTATAAAAGATAATTTTAAACCAATTACTTTTATCATCACCCAACTAACTTAATAGTAAACAATATAATATGGCATAATATGAATCGATAGATTGATTTGAATTATGTTTTCTTTTAGAAATAAACATCTGCAACATAAAAACTAAGCAGTATTAACTTACTTATGAATAATTGTCAATATCAAAACATTTATCCTATAGGTTATTGCTTAATAATATATATTCAGTAGCTTGTGTATTGAAATTACATTATTCAGTACAAAATGCCACAATTGATACAAGATAAATGTCCTCAAACAATCAATTACGTTTTTTTGTGGATTGTCTTTTGAGCACATATTTTAATCTGTCATTATCACAAGTCTTTGAAATCAGAATGGCCAAAGTGCATGTTGTGAGTTTTGTTATGCTGACTGAAAAAACTGGCATGTACAGTCAGAACTGTGTTCCATCACAGATTATATTGGCTTGTAAAAGTCTGCCAAGCTATTTAACTACCAGTTGGCCATTCCAGGTTTATTCAGAGTCATAAAATATATTTGACAAGAGGATCCACCCTTAGCGGAAGAGAAGAATACTTTGTCATTCCGCTCACACAAAAATTTGAGCCGTTGTGCTTTTTTGTGCATGAAAACACCATCCAGATGCCCACTCTCCACTGAGCGTATTTCTATCGCTTTATTGCCCCAACCCATTATTTGACCAGTTCCAATATATGCCACTGAAGTTGGCATCTCACCCCACTGCAACAAATCAAATGAAATTAAAGTATTTAATTAGAATACTAAGAAAAATATTTATTATTAGTCCTTCTATATGAAATAGAACACACCTGGAGAACTATATTTTTGCTTATTCGTCCATTTGTGTTAACATATACTCCTTCATTATCATAACAAAGTAATAGTTGGACACCATTTGAGTTCGGCAATGGAACAATGCAATGAGGAATAATAGCTCCCTGTGTCTGAAAATAAGATTAAGGTTATTATTAAACTAAAAAATTTATAAAGAAAGGAGAATAAGACTTGATACATTATTTATATATTTATACTGTATCATAATTATTACTTACGTGTTTTGGGATATAAATATCATAAACACTTGCAGTATCCAGATCAACAGCATGGAAACCATCTGCTGAACCATAGATAACCTTCAGTCTTGTGCCTTCTTCAATTGTCAAATCAACTAATAGAGGCCTAAAATTAGGTTAAAATTTTAAAATATTAGGAAAAATATATCAATGACAATATAGTGTATGATTGCATAAGTATATGTTATTAAACTGCAAAGTATATAAAGTATTTAAAATGATTTTTATATATTTAAATCATAAGGAACAAATTCACATAAAAACATTTGGCGTTATCAGTACAAACAAGCATGTACTTTAGCTTAAGTGATTTCAGTCTCCCATGGACATCCAAGATTCAAATCTTATTGACGCCAGACATCTGGGAGACTAACATTTCACTGGACTAGCTGATTCACTTATGAACAGTATAAATTTTCTGCATGATTTTACTGTGTTCATCTCAAACGGAACCACTAAAAACAGAATATTTGTAATTTTTGTTTTTATTTAATAAGTATGAGTCACGAGGCCAATAATAACTCAATATTTTATTGGTCTTATTATGTCTACTTATTATCTTTGAGGTATAGAGTTATAAAGATAACAAATTGCTGATGGAAAGATATGCTTTACCTGTGTTGCAGATCACCAAAACTTTTGAAAGCCATAAACTTGTGATAGGGTTTTGGTGCCCAAGCGTAAATTTCTATGGAATCTTTGAGAGCGATGACTAAGAATTTAATTCTCTCATATTTAACGATACGAAAATGCACTGCACCCTGTAGCTCGCCTACATTAATCCAGCCATTTCTCCTTTCAACTTGCTGTGAATTAAGAGGATCATAGGATGAATTTGAAATAGGCGATGTTACAAATCAATACAAACAAACAATTCCTTACGTCGCTCAGGCCGTCCGTGCGTAAAATTTTGGACTTAAGCCAACTCAGATAATACACTCGCACTCTATTTTTCTTTCCAGAAACAGTCACAAGAATGTTTTGTCCTTCTAACACTTCCATTTGTTGGAAGCGGCGTCTTGAGATCAACTGATAGACCTTCCCTTGACCAGAACGATCAAGGAGCATTAAACCATTTTCCGTCCCGATGAGTAAGTTCACGCCTAAAAAAAATATTAAATTTAGTTAGTTATGATCCAATAAATATAAAATAATAGAACTCGATGATAGGCTTTAAAATCTTTTAAAATAATTTATTTTGCTCATGAAGTATGATGAAAGATAACACTATTTTATAACTAGTGAAATTTGACGACTTGAGGTTTATAGCTGGTGACACTTGATTCACCAATCATTTTCAAATCATGATGTAACTCTTTTTTTCCCATGGAAAGTATGCAGAAATTTTTATGAGTGATCATTCATTAACATATATTTCTACATTTACAAGAATATTAGGATTTTTCCCAACAGTATAATAATATTCAATGAACAACTCAACAAGCTACGCACAAAAATATCGACTTTGCATTGGAATTAAAAACACTCAGATTTAGCATCGTAAGACGTGACCACTGCGAAAAGTTCAGCGTGTAGAGTTTTCGCCGAATCTACTAACCCCACAGAGCAGCGCAAAGTATTTCCGAGTTGAAACGCTTTTTGTATTTGCGTATTTCCGGCGTGTCGGAGGACAGGTCGTGTCCGGTGGGCGTGACGTTCACGTTCACGTGACTCTCGCGGCGTGACGCGTTTCCGCCGGAGCCGCCGGTGCCGCTGCCCGTGGATCCCGCACCGAAGCCGAATGTGAGGAACGAGCGCTGCTTCTGTTGCAAGGGGAGGAACTGCTGTTGGGAGCCGACGGAGGAGTTGGACGGCGAGTGCTGGAGAGGGTGCGGGGAAGCCGCGCCCGACACGAACGACTTGGACGGGGTGGATTGGACGGACGAGGGGAGCGGATGGTGGTGGTGGTGGGGGGCGGGCGTGCCTCCGGCAATGGCCTGTCTGTACTGCAAGAGAAATTCATCCAGTCAGTGGAATCTAACTTATGAGCTTGACTATAAAATTGATTTCTTTTTGTGTAAAATATATATTTATATGTATTGTTCGATTTCAAGGAATTTCATATTCTGTGCTTTACAAAACAATTGATGATATGTGTTAGTTAAGTAATTCCATCTCCCAGTTAGTCGTCATTTCACTATGATCGGAAAGTTATTAATGGCTTTTATTATCTACAAATTCGCGATGACATAATTCCATACAATAATGAAATCGAGCAGGCAATGATAATTAAAACTTTTCTTTAGATTTATAAAATATTCAGAAACCTTTATTTTATCTTCTTCATCGAAAATACTTTTATGCAACATTTTTTCAACATCAATTGCTGATTTAAACTCAAATAAATAATCACTTAATTATAGTTTATATTTTATATATGTGGCTCTTCCTCTTTTTAACATTCTTAGAACTAAAATTCTTTCATTAAATGGCAAGGATATTATGGTTAAATAACGGCAAAGATATTTCAAACTTGATATGAGGCCGTAGGTTCAAATCTCTAATTAATGAATCTCTTTAAACACAAAATATTTTTTTTACATAAGTGCACAGCAACAGGCTGATCACTTGTCGTTTGTACTAATTTTTTTGCATGAAAAATGGAGAGCACGAGGAATCGTCGCTTTCTTGACAGAGGTTTGAGCTTTTTAAATTAATGAGACAAACATTTTTAGACAGCGAAACTATTCTATGAATGAGATACGTACCTAAATGTGTAACTTTTTTTAAACGTAACTTTAAAATTTAAGGTAATAATGAGTACACGGCTCAGGTGACCAGTTAAATAAACTGGTACTGTATTGGTTACTTAATAATTACCTACGCATACCCATTGAGCGTAATTTCCTATAAATAATTTTTAATTCCACATTTGTCAAACATTTTAAATAACTATTAAGAAAATTACTTAAGATGGTAAATAATAATCTTTGGTGCTGACTCATTATTGGTCTAATTTAACCCTTATATTAATAACTTTACGTGAAATTAAACTTATTTGCAAATCAGCGCGGTATTAAATTGATGCTTTTTAATATATTTTGTTATTTTTATTATCGGCATTAATTATGTAATGTACTTTTATGCATATCCATGTTTGCGTCCGTTTATGTATTTCGTCGTTTATACATTTTTCAAAAACAAGAAGTTCCATTTTCCGGTAAGAAAATGACAAGTGCACAGTATGAGGATAGGGCCGTTCATATCTACCATATTAAAAAAACTCAGGCAGTAATATTTATAATAAATTTTTCAAAGTTTGCAATTTAATCACCAATTCGCCGAATGCGACGATTTTTAAGTGTTTACTTAAGGTTTTTTGAATCCACGACACGCACTATAGTCACGAATTCGAAAATAGAAATAAATACATAAAAAATCATTTCATATATTTATGAGTTTTACCGATATTTCGTATTAGCACAAAGCGTATGATTTACATGAAGTGTAAATAAATATTCAATGTGATACATAACTTGACAGATGATTTATAATACAAGCATAATAACTATGTAATGCACAAGAGAAGAGTGAGAGTACTATCGAAACAAACAACAGCCTATTGTAACCATTATTGAAGCGTATCCTGTTGCATCAATTCTTGTCGTACTTACGCAGTGTTAACAGCTGTCTGCAAACAGGTCGCCGACCGTGGCTCCAGGGTGTTTGCATGATCGACAACCATTATCACATTAATACTATACACTAAGAGCTCCAAATGAATATTGCGCTTTTAACGGGACCACCAACACTATTTTGTGTTGTAAAACTTTAAAGCACAAAAAGTGTAATAACCAGTTAGCAGGAGAATCGCGGAAACATAATAAAGTATGCAAACGGGGACATAACGAATGTTCACGTTTTTATTCAGTATGGTAAAAAATTTAAGTTATTTTTGTATTTATTTCAATAATGAATTATGTATAATCTGTGCCAAATCAATGTTACCATAGTAACGGTGTTGGCAGCCCCATTACGGTGTTATATAATGAATAATATCACTGTAAGTAACAAATGGTTTCTAGCACGACTTTAACACTCTTTATTAAGCTGCATGGTGAACATAATAATTTATATAATATTACGTAATACTTAGAATAATGTAAAAAAAAATAATAAATATATTCAATTAACCAAGACGATATAGAACTTTTAATGTGTCTAACGACGCAACTATTGGCGGCGGGGTAAAATTGCAAAACTTGTTATCTCTAGCGCGCTTTACCATGGGCAAGATGTGACGGGGCAACGGTATTTCACAATCGTGGAGACCACGGCCTCCCTTACCTCTTCGCTGGTGGACTTGTCATGACGCGGCGGGGTCGTTGGTTGGCCAGCTTGGAGCAAATCGGGGAGTACGGAGCTGGTGCGTGATCCGCTACCTTCGTTGGCGCCGCTTGATCGGCCCTGGAATGTTTTGTGTCTTCAAGAGGTATATATGGTACACATCGGGCCATCAACTGTCACACTGTACGCCGCAACACGTGTTATGGTTTACAATTATATTCTATGTGCTTAACCTACAAAAGTGAAACGTTAAGTAATCATAAAAAAGAATTAGTATACATGGGCAAATAGTTCTAGTTGTATTTTTATACAAATCAAAAGATACAGTGAATATAATACTAAGCTATTAACTGTATTACTTATTTAATTTTATATTAAAAAAATAATTGCTGCTCGCAAAATTATTCGAAAGCTATGGTACAGTAACAATAAGAATGTTATACTACTTATGGCAGGATGACCACGCCAAATGCAAATGAAGACTAAATTGAACAACGGATGTGGATGTATTGAAAAATAACGAGGAAACCAATTCAGTGACCGTATCTACATAAAATTTATTCTGTTACAAAACGATTTACCGAATAAACAAAGACAGTACGCCGTCGTGTTACATGTGATGTTTTTTTATATAATATATAAATTCATATTTCACATTTGGAGTGATTTCGTAACGTGTGAGCTACGGACGGCGTGTTGCCTTTATGTAACGGTTAACTAGCACATATTACATTGGTGTTCTGCATCAGTTTCGAGCGCAGCAAAGAGCGACAAACACAAACGCGATAGCCAAACATGCAGTTGAAAAATCACATTCACAATAAAACGAACAGTTTATTCTTTTATTCCAGCTTCGGTGTGATATCGTTAGGCGTTCATTCCAAAATAGTGTTAAGTGTCTTAAGATTATAATGGCACAGAGTTCCTAATACTCTCACTCGGCTTTTCTGTGATCTCTCGGCAGGAAGACGGTAGTCGCGCACAGATTATAAATTGGAAAGTTAGTAAAATTAATAATTGCTACAAGTATCAGTGTTAGATGAGGATGCAGCGCTTGTTAATGTCCATGGTATCAAGGAATAAACGTATACATAATTATAGGCCCAATATTATACAGATTCTTACTTCAAATCCAATCTTAAAAACAGGTAGCTACATACTCTACTTCGACGAACCGGCGAACTACTACAATATAATTATAAAAATACGGAATAATATACAAAACGGTCACGCCAAAATGTAAGACGTGTGAGCAATAACTAAGATTTGTCGATATCGTACAGTTATAAAGGGGTAAAGCTAATGAATACTTTTATTAATCGATATTAATTAGGCGTATCCATTCCCACACATAAATAAATTCAAAACGCCACACCATTAGCTACAGAAAATACCAGAACAGTCCCTCATAAACATACATAGCATTACGGGTGTTAGTCAACTATGTTAGACAATCCGTACCCAACCAGGATTAAGTGTATGGATATTAATCAAACTATCCCGAGCAGTGAGGAATTACCTGGTCCTGTGCGAGTACCGCTTCCTGCCCACAATTGCCCGTTACGTCAGTGTGCCGGTTATAGTGGCAGTTCCGTCGGAACACGATGTCCGATTCGGTCTTTTCCCTGCGCGGTCTCACCAGGTCGCCGGGGTCGTTGCCCTCCCGGGGCTTGCTCTCTAGCGTGTCAGCGGTGAGGTCGAGGGCGCCCGCCTTCTCGAAGGAGCCGCCGCTCGTGAAGCATATGCTCGTTGCCGGTGAGTCGCTGTTCACGCTGCTCTGTCGGCTGGCGCCGTTGCTCTCGCTGTCCTGTCTGATCAGGACGGCGACGTTCTTCAGCGCCTCTATGGGGCTGTTGGCCGCTGCTTTCCTGGCGGCGCCCTTCCTCAGGCTGTCGTTCATCTTTATAAAGTCCGTGAGCACCGGCTCCCCGGACGCGGCCTGCTTGGTGCTCTGCTTGCGCGAGTGGTTGAATATGCCGCTCGACCTCATCTGCTTGGCCGCGCCCGCTTGGCTCTCGTGCTTCGGGAAGTATATGGCCGAGTGGCGCGTGCTGGGCAGCGGGAACAGGTCGGAGTTCTCCCTGCGGAACCCCCTGAAGAAGCGGTTTGGGGAGTTCAGCTCCGATTCCTGGTCCTTCTTGTGTTTGAGCATGTCCGCGAGCTTCTCGTGGGGCGTTTTCTCTTTATTGAGCATTTGCTTGTGGCGGGCGGGGGGCGTTGCGATCGCCTTGTATTTCGCCCAAGCGTCCTCCAGTTCGATCCTGGACTGACGCTGCAGTTGCCCTCGCTTCTGTTCGCTCTCTTTGGTGGGGTCCTGTTTTTCCTCTTTGTGCGCAACCTTCGACGGGAAAAATCTAGCAAAGTCCCAATCCTTCAGTAGAACAGCTTCGTCAACTTCCGATTGCCTTATATCGCTACCCGCGATCTCCTTCTGTCGTTTTTTAAATAAAAACCGATGCAAATATACACATGAATAATAATGAGTAACTTAAAAAGGAACGAGCCTTAGTACAAGTTATGTAGATTTTGCTCACTGATCTTACTTCTTTGGCGTGAATCAAGGAAAAGGGTAATTTATTTTAACATTATATTAGTGATTGCCAAACAACCCCAGTAAAATTCCACACAGTTTCTATTCAAATAATAAGATTATTGATAAAAGTTATGCATGAGTCGACGCGATCGAAAGTAGCCCTTAGACATACAGATTAATAATATAAATTAAATAAGGATGTTCTCATTACTTTCAATCAAGATTCTTTAGATGCAGTTGGCGAACATTCCAGGCATCCATTTTAAAAATGCATTGAGTAGTGAATGAATGAATGATTAGAAAAAAAATTAAGAATACCAATAGCCAAGTCAATTTATAAAACTAATGTATGAAAAGGACTTCACTTCGCACGCGTCTCTTAAGCATAGTGTATTTAATGAGCACCGAGGCATGGAAACACAGACACAGGCTTAAATAAACAGTATACCGCAAACAGCTATAAAGTTCCGTAAAAAAAAGCTACGCAACTGAATATTGACTAAATCTTTATGAATGTTGAATATGAATATTGACTAATAAGAGTTCGGCTCCCATAGCGGTCTGCGGTACACGTGTAGCACGCGCAAAACCCAAATGCGTCTCTGATGTTCGTCAAGTACGTAACTTGAAGACTAACTGTTTAGAGATGCTTCAACCGGGCTGCGAAGTGATTCTAACCTACCCATCTCGCCGCAGTCTAAGCCGCTTCCCGGCTCGGTGTACATTTGTGAAAAACGTTGCTTTTATACTTTAGAAACATATAGTTCTAGATCGTTTCGTACTCTAGTTTCGAAGTGTGTCGCAACGGGCCAAGCCGCTAGCGTCGCTGTGATGGATAGATTAAGTACCCGGTGGGTCAAAGATGATATTCGCGCGACTTAAATTCACGTTAATTAATCACAATCCACAAATAATCTTGCACTCCGAAAGTACGAACTAAATCGACATGGGAGTACCATAACACGTTACGGAATTTAAAGTAGGCTATTTCGATACACTCCTACGATCGTAGCGGCATCTGGATCTTACTTCAACGTAGCTTCCTACTATTGCAAGACCGTGTGCACTCGACAGTACATTCGCAGGAGTGAATACTATGTCGATGCACTCCTCTACCGCAGCGCATCTGGACTTTCGTTCAACAGTGAAGAAACTCCCTATTGGAATTATAAGACTACGCATTCGACAATACACGGGCAGAAGTGAATACTATGTAGCAGCACCCCTCGATCGCGGCGCCATCTGTGCTTTAGTTCAACGGTGAAGCAACTCTTCATTGGAGTCGTATGTAAGACCGCGCGCACTCGACAGTACACGCTCAGAAGGGAAGTACACTCGGGCGCATTCGGGTTTCGGGCGGTGTGCAAGCGACGGTGGGCGGTGCGCGGCCGCTGCGACTCACCCGCTTCATGACGAGCGTGCGGTCCGGGTGGGCGTCGTCGTCGTCGGGGGTGGGGGGCAGCGGGCGGGTGGGCGCTCCGCCCGCCGCCGCGCCGTCCTCAGACACCGCCGCTAGGCCGGGCCTGTAGCAGAACTCGGGGCTGACAAGCCAAACGAAAACCAAATGGGACGGGACGGAACGGAACGGGAGGGGAGGGGCGGGGAGCGGAAGTATTAGGGCGCGAATGGCGCGTGGGCGGAACGAAATGTAAAACAAAAGAGAAAGAGCAACGAAAAAGAAACGGAAATATGATGGGGATTAGCGAGTCGTGCGGTTAGTAACGTTATTGCGAAATGATTGATTGAATCTGAAACAACTCCCAAAGACAATTTTAAGAAAACTATTTGTGCTAAATGTGTCGTTGCGAAGCAAATGCCATAAAGTAAATTATTTTATATTTTGAATTTTTTGTTAATTTAAAAGTAACAGTCAATACATATCCCACTACTGTGCAAAGGCCTCCTCTGTACACTTACACGATATTTGACCACGCGAGCCCACAGGTGGTTTGCGGACTTCACATATTTTCGAAATACAGTTTTTGTTATTATTTCGAAAATATGCAGGTTTCCTGACGATGTTTTCCTTCGCCGCTGAGCACGTGATAAGCCAGCATTTAAAATAAACAATTTGATTGATGCCGTCACCGAGGATCAAAGTCAGGTTGCTCGGACACTGAACTATCACGGCTACCACCGTTAATTTAATTGCCGTAAATAATATTATACTGTATGTGCTTAGATTAACTTATTCGTTCATTTATTTCATTATCAATACTAACCCTTACAGAAAATTTTAACTTAACAGCATTAGCTTCCGAATGAACACATGAGAAAAATAAAAGACCCAAAGTATAAATACATGGAAGGTAACATACGAGTCATTGACAAGTCAACGTGGGTGTCTTTACGATGGCAATCTGGGTCTTAACAACATCAAGTCTTTCGTGTTTAATGTGTGAGTAGAGAGGCGCCAAGGTGTATCGCTGCGGTTACAGTACAGTATTGGTGCTTACAGCGGCTTGGGTGGATCGCTGGCGAGCAAGGTGCCGTCGTTGCGAACTCTCCCGCCGCTTTCTTCGGCGTCCGAATCGCTGTCGGAGTCGTCAAACGGCGGTTCCGGTGGGTTCCTTTCCAATGGTGGCCCTGTACGGGAAGCGGTATACATATGTGCGATGTTGAAAGTAGGTTTTTTTAGGTTTTTTTTTTTTTCAAAATTATTGCCCTTACTTTAGGATAAGTTAGTAAGTAGGATGAGTAAAGAGTAAAAATAACTGTGGTAGGAACACGCAACAGTGTTCGCTGGTGGACGCATGGGCAGGCACGTCCGGGTTAATAACACGACCTCACAGAAGATCGGCGTGAAGTAGAAGTGTTACATTTCTGCGTTTCGTCTGGTGAGCTGGGGCCCACTTTATTAAAAGGTGAAAACGCATCTGCAACCCTACGGGTGTTGCAAATGTCCATGGGCGGCGGTTATCACTTAACATAAGGTGAACCGCCGGCTCCTTCGTCGCTTTGTCTATATTTTTGAGTCTTAAGCTCAGTCCATTAAAATTTTTAAGTTATTTTAACATTATTATTTTTAAGTTTTGAATGTATCCATTGTGCTTAGACCGCGAATGAACGTTTCTTCTTCTTCTTCTTAAAATTAAAACGTGTTAAGTACCTTGTCCATTTGTAGGTGCGCGAGGAGGTCGATTTGGTGGCTCGTTACCAGATACGACGCCAAGTTCGTTAAGTTGCGCGGCTAGTTTATCCAAGTCCTGTAACCCAACAAAAGTAAATGACTGCATACACAGCTTTTAATGAAATCATACTAAGTTATTGTGTTAGAAAAACAGGTTGTTCAAGGTTAACAACAACTAAATTACTTAATTGGTCTTTAATAAAAAATTATATTAAACATATAAATATTAATGTTATTTTTTTCAATAACTGATTAGTTCCACAGTTACTTTATTATATCTAATAGACAACACAATGTAAAAAAAAAAAACAAAAATCTACAAACCTCTGGTCTTCGAGGTGGAAGCTGCAGCAGAAGTTTATATTGGTTGTGCAAAGAAAGTTAACAGCGTGACATGAAAATAAAAAAATAAAGCAAAACATGAAAATATGCTTACTAAAATACTTGTAACACATACACTTTATCACTAGACCGACGAAAACGAATCCTTTAAAAAAAACACATTCAAATTCTATTTAAGAAAAGAGACACGTTTATGGTGTTTACAAAATATGTAAGTGAAAAAATAAAATTATAAGGAATAATTTCTTATTTTGTTACTCATTCCTTAATAAAAGTATATATGTAGACGAGAAGTATAAAGAAAAACACTTTAGTGAAGTCCACTAAGCTATAAGGATCACATTAAAGTTTTTAGAACGAGCCAATTAAAAACATTGACAATGAAAACTTCTATTAAATTTTCTTTCTTTCTTGTTTTTGTGAATTGGCGGCAAAAGTCACACACCTCAAAAAGAATTTATCGCGTGAAAATGATTGGCATTTAAGAATGAAGTCCAATCTCCATTGTTTACAATTGGTTTAATGTTTGTAAGCGTGGCCGTAGCTATCTTAGCGGTTCTGTCTAAGCAACGCGACTGTGCGACGCGTGATAGAGGAAGATAAGAGAGTGACCTACATCAGCAAGGCAAAAAATGTTACGAGATCGTTTAGGCCTCAGGAAGCTTTATGCCAGATGGATTCCCCATACTTTTGCGAAGGCGGAGACCGCCTTCGCATGGATTGGTGCCGCGAAATTTTAGAAAAGTTCAACGTGACTCTAATGTTGCATTTGACATTGTCACATGTGATGAAAGCTGGATAAATTGCTACGAACTCGAAACCAAAAGACAATCTGCTCAGTTGGTGTTCCCATTTGAGGATTGGCCAACTAAAGTAAAGAAAGGATGAAGTCAAGGTGACTGGGTTTTGTCTTGAAAAAGATTCAGCCTCAACAGTGGTGTCCAAGAATTAAAAATAAAATTAGAGGTATTCCCTTTAAGAGTTCTTATTATGCGGTGAGTGCGTTCGAAAATGCCGAAGAAATCCCTAAGAAAGAATGGGCCCACTGCTCTTCTGTGGTTCCATCGGATCCGAAGATGTATAAGGAGGTGGAGACTACATCAAAAAACAGTAAAAGTATTGGCTACTTTCTCCATTGAGCCTTTTTATTATTTTTCAAGAACTTTCAGATGACAATTCTTTGAAAGTCACCCTGGATTGTGTCAGGATAAAGTGTCCCTTTCAAAGCTCTATAAAGATAGACAAAATGTGTACGCACCATTGGTTTAAACATGTGATGGGAGCCACGTTGCGGTGGTTGAGGTCCACTTGCAGGCGGTGTGCCATTGTTGGAGCCGGAACTGTTTGACGAACCGGACGATTTGGGAGTGGGGGGCAGAGGCCTGTATAGACGTTTATAATGAAGAGAAAATATTAATTATGACACCAAAACACATTAATATAAGATCTAGCCCTATAAACACCACATAAATTTATTTTGTTGCAGACATTAATATTATGACTCCGTAGCGCATTTGCCAAGGTATTGAAGGTATTGAAGTAGGAATTGCGGTTTTTTCGCTAGTTGGAACTGCAGCTAAAAGTTAAGGCGCGAAGCTCGAAGTTGTGGGTCGATTCCCACAGCGGCGAAAAATTTTTCGTACTAATGTTTACCAATTTTAGTGTTTAATGCTTTGTGAACGTCAAGGAATACTGTTAATGGAGGATTTTGCCGCGCAAAACAATACATATTTATGCGATAGCAGCAATCGCAGTTGATTTGCTGTCATTATTTGAATAGTTCTGTTGTCTATCTCTCATCATAAGTTGTAACCATTTCGAACAATACAGTCCATATATGACGGAGTTATACCAGAACATACAAAAAAAATTATATACATCTGAATTGATAACCTAAGTCGGTTAAAAAATATATAAAAACATGCTACTGTTGAATAGCTTAGCTATGTTGTGAATAGATAACAATTTTCATATATAAATGTATGTACACTGAACAGAGAGTATATATGACTACTGAGCCAATAATAAGACAGTTGAAATTGTTTCCTAAATGGTGTAGAATTGAAAATTGCAAAATTAAATTTTCTAGAAAGTAATAAATAAATATTACCTATATCTATTAGGCTGTTGTGCCTGTGGATCTGGCACAACAATCAGTCTTTGTGGAATGGATGGCCTTGCCGGCGGCCCAGGCTCTGTGTAATGATAGAGGACATTAAAATGAAGTTATACAATAGGATAGACGCATTAAAGTAGAGTACAAATGAGCAATTCTTTACCTGGGATTTCTTCACGTTCCTCACGCTTGCTGTTGCGTTTAGGTGGCGGTTGAGGTTGAGCTTCAGCCCCGGCACTAAATTGATTAAAAAAAAAATCATTGTGTAACACTACAGTTTGACTATAAATGTACATATATCATAATCATATTTTACTAACCTTCCTTCTTGTATTTGTTGGAAATTACGTCGAAGTGTGTCACTTGTCTGATGTGCAGCGGCATTATGCACAATAGATGATGGCTCCCCAGCGACAGCATTATCCTCTTCCTCACCTTCTGAACCTGAATATTTATACTCTTCTCTGACAGAGTTATCCTGCTTTCTCTTTTTACACCTGTCTATGTGATCTTTGAGCTGTATCCTGACTTGTCTTTCAGTGGGCTGATCCCTGTAAAAAGTAATTTTGATGATAGTGCAGGATATGGATTTTTAATGTTAAAATAAACGAATAAATAATGACACATAATAGTGCAGTACTTTCTCAAACTATACACTTCACTATCATTTACCAATAGATTACAGTTGAACAAAAATAAAAAGTGTTTAAACCTCCATGTGACCTAATAACAAAAGCCCTTCCTGGAGTTTTTAAAACTAATACCATTTAAAATTTTCACTTACCTTATGAATGGGTGCTTGAGAAGTTGTTCAGTATAGGGTCGCTGATGGTAATCTTTCACAAGAACAGTTTCAATGAAACTGTGGAACTTCTTTGCCCATTTTTTAGATTTTAAACGAGGTGGTGGGTTCCTATAAGTTTATTTAAAACATCAGCAACTAAATTAGGAAAACTGAAATACTATAAGTTGTAGTTTTAATGTAACTACTTAAAAAGTTGTGTCAGTACCTTGGAATAAGGAAAAGTGCTCTCATAGGATGAAGATCACAGAGGGGTGGTTGACTTTCTGCCATCTCAAGTGCAGTGATACCAAGAGACCAGAGGTCAGAGCGATTATCATATGTAGCATCAGGGTTTTCATCACATGCAATTACTTCAGGTGCCATCCAATATGGTGTACCAATGAATGTGTTTCTCCTACCAATAGTTCTGTCTAGTTGTGCTGACACACCAAAGTCGACTAATAAAAGAAAACAAAGCAGTAAGTTAAATATTGTTCAAAGTTCCATATGTTTGTAACTTTATTTAAATATCATCATTTTCCTTACCAAGTTTTACTTCTGCATTATCAGTAAGTAACACATTCTGCCCCTTTATGTCCCTATGGATAACTTTGTTAGAATGTAAATAACTTAGACCTCTCAGAATTTCCCTGCAAATATAGGAGATCCATTCTTCTTTCAGTGATTGACCCTTGGTTGATTTTACTAAGTCAGTCACAGAACCTAAAATATTGTTGTAATATTTTTATATTGTTCATAAAAAAATTCAGATAATAAACATATTTGTAAGTCTTCTTGAAGCAATAAAAAATTATCTCAGTTGTGATGAGTAAAAGTAAAGTAACAGCTATATATGTTCCATTGCTGGTCAAAGGCTTCCTTCCTATGTACAAAGAGTATTACAGAATAGTCTACCATGCATCCAAAATGCTTATCAGTATATACTTCAAATATAACGAGCACATTTTAAATTTCTTTGTATTAAATTAATAATATCCAGGAAATTTATAGACATATTAAATGTACAGATACAGAATGGTATTGAAGGTAGTGATAAAATCAAATAACAGGGATGGTTATCTATTAAAAAAAAGGAATAAACATATTAAAACAATGATAACTTTGATAAAAAAAACATTAATATACAAATACAATAATATTGGTTTTCTACTGTTTCAATGCTACATACCAGCTCCACAATACTCCATGACCAACCACAACTGATCATCTTTTCCAGATGGTGTTTTTTTGATAAATGCTCCATAATATGTGGCAATGTTACGGTGATTAGAGTATTTTTTTAACACATTGATTTCAAGCTTTATCTCTTCTTCTTCATCTTGTGTGACATCCATAACTTTGATGGCTGCAAGTTGACCTGTCTTTGTGTGACGACCCTGGAATAATAATGATTGTGAAACAAATTTTTTTTATTATAACTGTTATAACACATCTTGTAAATATTTTATTGACTACAAATGTAATTAATATAAATTCTCGTTTAATTGTAAAAATTAGTACATGTTTATATATTACTTTTTATAAGTAAAAATTGCCTTTTACATAGGTCATTTTACATCCTTTAATGACTTGATAGATGTTAATTCCTTTCATTAACATTAATAGACTATCTTAAATTGTACAGCTCATAAGGTCAAACAATTACCATAATAGAACAAGTAAAGATTTGATGATCAAGTGGTTTAAAAGCAAATTTATAACAAAGGCTTTGTTTAATATTAATATTTTAACCCTTTATAATTAAGTAGTCATATATTAAGGCTGTAGTTAATATATATTGTCATAAAGTATAAGCTTACACATACCTTATACACCTGTCCATAAGTGCCATTTCCCACAACTTCTATGAGTTCAAATATACCAGCTGGGTCCTGAAATTAAATACTTTGGAGTATAAACAGAGGAGACCATACAATAAAAAGCTAATTAAAATCCTCAATAGGTGAACCTTCGATATGATTCACGCCCTGTGAGATCATTGCCCTTTGTAGGGATTTTTAGGCGAGGAGGACACAGTTTCTCTATTTCTAAGTGCATTTGAAAAAAGCTGAGTAAATGGAAAAAATATTACCTTTAATGCACCGAGGTCAATGTCGTCTAATGAACAATTTACAGACGGTGCCAGTTGATGCGCCATTTTGAGTATATTGTCACACACGAAGACAAAGCACGAGAACCTCACATCAATATAAAAAGTGTATAAAAATTCCTAATTTTTATTACATTGGCTTTGAGATTATTAGTATTTAGCTATTGAACGATTAAATAATTTATAAAACACATTGTTTACTATTAAAATTACAGTAAATTACAGATACACAATCTATTCGCCGCACACACCCGGCGGGGATACCACTGATGAAAAAAAATTACTACCATCACAAACTTACAATTCATGATATTTTAAATGGCAAGGCTACTGTTTATTTTTATACCATAAAAACAGCTTTATGTTGATATAAATATAATCGAAATAACAATATTTTAGTACATTAAGAATTCAAGGTATAATTATAGTTTTTATAGAAAATGTGTAAAAATATGCAAAGGTGTCGTTTCGCAAGTAAAAATATAATACTTGGCATTTTTGCATGGCTGAAACATGGTATAGAATAAACTTTCTGCGTACAGCTTACTTCTAATTCTGCCAGTTTGGTAACGATCAATCATGTTTGATAATATTTCTTTGTATTATCGTTGGTAACAATTAATTCATTGTTACAGCAGACTTTTTAATTGGATTTGTTGTGTTAATTTAATTTTATCCCCATGGTATCATATTTATCTTGTTTATGAACAGTAATTTCAACGTATTAAAATAATGAAGATAATTATTTTAATATTTTAATTATTTTACTAAAGATGATTGAAGATTTAAAAAAAAAGAAGAAGAATTAAAAACGAAAAGTAAAGCTTTTGGAAGTGCAGAATGATGTTTTTTTTTCTTTTTATTTAAGAATATAAAGTGATTAAAATTATTTGGAAGGCTTTGGAACCTCTTACCGCTTCTAATCTGACGGGCGCAATCACTGGCAATATTTAAGACTCGGTAAAGCATACTTTTTAATTAGTGATAAGTTAAAGTATAATCAACGGATCGTTTTAAAAGAAATCTCAATTCCATCAAAACGTTTTTTTCAGAAATATTTCTACTTTTAAAATACTCACCGTAAACAAGTTATCAGAGAAAGTTTTTTTTGCTGTAAAGGATGCACATTGATATTAAATATTACCATTGCTGAAAATGCTATAAAAACAAAATAGATATTATGACGTCGAGATTTTCGCGTGGTAAGGATAACGTTGAGTCGACCGTTTAGCTTAGTGGCCTAAACATCTGGAGGCGTAATCCGAAAGGCGCCGGTTCGATTTCTGGCATCGGTGAAAAAAAATTCAACATTTATCGACAATCTAAGATTTATCTTAAGTGCAAGGATTAGCACTTAAATTGAAAATGAATAATTACATATAATTTTTATTTAGTTATGCTTTATTGCTAACCTTAAGGAAACAAAAGGTAACAAAGGGCGTACTTAATTAATTTGTACGTTTAAATCGTTTACAGTGAAGAGTGTGAAAAGTACTGTCCTTTTTTTTTGTTCCGACCGAAGTTATTATTATTTTAACATCGTTAAAATGTCGTTGGAATATAACAGTTCGTCATAGATTATATAAAATTCTTCTTTTTTCTCCTGCTCTTATCCCGGGGTCGGCACATGTCAAAATATCCATTCCTCTCGCTTACCTCTCTCAGTCGTCATCTTAATACTCACCCATTTCACAGACATATCATTCTTTACACAGTCATCCAGATCTTTCTCGGTCTTCCTCTAACCTTAAACCCTCCAACCACATTCATATTCATCAGTCTTCTAGTCACATGACTTTCATTCCTTCTCATAATGTGCCCATACCATGCCAAACTACCACTCCTTATTTTTTCAGTCTCTGATGCGACAATTGATAAATAAAAACAAGTGGAGGACATGCTTTGGCGACCTCAAATAAATAGCTAAGGGGAATTTAAGTTGTAAGTATAAGAAAGAAGTATTGTCGTTCGAAGCGAGAAGAAATTTGGTCCAGACGTGGGGTCTAAGATGACTCATCTTGTGTAAGGATTTAGCGGATCGATTCGACGATAAAGTAGTTTTTCACATTTACTCTTTACCAAAAGAACGCAAACTTCGCGTCGTTATTGGAGGTTTCCCAAAAGAGATCGAAGTCGATGAGGTTCTCACCAACATTCGATTCCAGGAGTACTCCGTACATAGCGTCCGCGGCTTCCATCACTCACGAGATACGATCCCAACTAGATTATTCAAAGCAACAAAATTACTCTAAAACACCCTACTATCCCTACTCAAGAAAGTCTCGCTTGACATCGAGTCGATAGATACCATTCACGAATTAGATTCAGATCACCGGCCGATACTGTCAGATGTGAGGTCAAATTCCCTTGAGCCTTGGACCATGTTATCAAACAAAGAGCTGCGGTACCGCAAGCAGATTTTTGTCCTCTTTTGTCTTGAGCAGGCTTTTATCCTCTTAACACCACAAACCTTGCATAAACTTCAAGTAATTCAAAATACGAGTAAGTTCACCGCCACGCAACCTGTTCTTAGCTGTATTAAGGCAACGTCGATATAAAGTAGAGATTGAAGACTCCCGACTCACGGTACGTAAACCCTTTAAAGAGTTAAGTCAACGGTTTATCGAAAGAACTGAAAACGCAATAAATTACGAACTTGACATAAGTGCGACCACTTACAATCGTCAACCGCGCAACGTTCTACTCGACCCGCTCGAGTAAGGGGACATGTGTATGTCGAACCCACTAGAATATAACTAAAACAATGCGGTGTCAAACTAAAACTACTAGTCCGGTTTTAATGCGGTTTGTGGTTGATTAGTAAGGGTTATTAAATAGATGTTACAGTAGTAATTCACTAGGGTGCGCTACAGTAATATATTTTATATTAGCTACTACATATTAAAGACATTTATGCCCAAAGAGTACTAGTTCGATTTTGATGCAGTTTTCATCAGAGATAAGTTCGCGTTTAATTGTCTACTGTAGCAGAGGCGTATCTTCCAGGGCTACTTGGGCGAACGACCGGGGTGGCGCGTTATGTATGTATGTACATAATATCTATGCTCTCTAAAAAGTTTAAAATAAAAAACAAAACCAAAAATTTTGAAAAACCCCACGACGCTTAAAAGTAGTAGAAAAAGGATAAAATAAATTAAAAACCCCTGACTTAAAAAAAAAAACTAACTGTGGCACTCTGGGACTGCCGCGGTAAAACTATTGCATAGCATTTTTTATTAACTTATGCAATTATAATTTTTTTTTTTATTTGTGCAGTATTTTTCTTTTCTTTGATATTAATTCAAGTTACACTTTTTGAGCGTGGTGACCGATAAGAAAACAATTTTGTTCTTTTATTGAATAAACAAGAAGTTTATATCGTTTAAAATATTAATTATTATAACAATAAACAGAAACATAAGTTTGAGACTTGATATTCTCTAAATATCATATAATCATATGATAATATAATATCATTTTATAATATCCATTTGTGCGAGCTTCGTACAGTCGTACCATATACATACACGTTAAGCGAACGCTCGGCCAAGCTACATGGTCGCCGCGCTCAAAGCCCACGATAAAAGCTATGCAATAGCTTAATAAATGTAACGCGAGATAGTAAACGTAAAGATTTAATAAGTAAAGTTGATCTCTCTCGCGGAGTCGGTCATATAAGTAAACAATAGAGTATCAATTTTCATAGCATTTCCCTATGTCCCTACCTATTTGATTCTCGTTGATTGTAGATGTGTCTATAATATATTCAAATAAATTAAAATTCAAACTTAATAAAAAGCCCAAGAATATTCGTCGGCGGCTGCAATCACTATTTTAAATTTCATCGTAAATAGAAATAAATATCATCATCGACTTAACAAAAGGTTGGCAATGTAGGGGCACGGCCTACAAATTAAGGGTGTAAGTATAGCGCTAAAACCTCCAATTATTCACGTTACTATCAAAATGCAAAACTACTTCATATAAAGGCAGCGGTGCAGCCCATCTAGTCGTGAAAGATAGGGAGAGCGGCCAAACGGAATAGCGACACTCCTCTTCCGTCGCGACTCCTCCTCGGTAGCAGAAGACAGGGAGAGTGGCTCCTACTTTACCACGCTCGACCTATACCCTGCACCCTCCAGCACGCATCCAGAGTGGGCTCAATGGGTAAACTCGGAGCGGCCTACCCGCGCCGGCCTTACACCGCAGGCCGACCCAGTGTGGGTTCCTCTTGGGTTACCAAGCCACGGCTACTAAGGACCTCCGCCATGACAAGGCGGTGACCTGGTCGGAGAGGATACAATACTTGTCCCTGGTGAGAAAACAATTTATTGCTCGTGGCATAAACGAATCATAACGTCGAATGTAATGGCTTAGCAAGTGCGCCAACCAAGCTATCAGGTAAATACAAAAAATACAATAAGGTAGATCGTCAATTCGTTTGTGGATTTCGTGACTTTCTGTCTCTTTTGTAATTTTTTGGGCCGTAAACACATGTTGAACACGTATACATATATCACGAGATATTATATTACAAAAAAAAAACAAATTTCGTTCACAGAATGCTTGGATGGCTTATAGATGTTTACTTTTCAGTAATAATACTAATTTTACATTGCTTCGAATTCTTGTAAGTGGACTTTAATCGTAACGAATTTTCAGTGGAAATTTTTAACGTATAGTGAAGCGAACTCTACATCTTCCGGATAGCCTTGGGTGTGAAAGTGTTCTCAAAAGTATGTTTCTTAAAATATACTTGTTTCTTTATTTGGTCGAATCCACATATAGACAAAAAATTCAATTCAAATGATAGTTCAAAAGATATTATGCTAAAATGCATAGACGCTTCGAAGAGAAAACCTTATTTATAAGAAAACGTGGGACGATTAAGGAGTACAATATTTTCAAAGCAAAGAAACAGGTAGAACGCTGCTCTGTACCGGTTTCTAGCCTGTGTCTGTATAACGCATGTTATTGCACAAACACCGAACTAAAATTATTGACTGGATATTATAGAAGTAAAATACAGTCTCGGTACTACGTGCGGCAGCGCGGCCGTGCATACCGAATCGTAAGATCAAAGCACGCATAGGTACTCTACCAACACCGACACCCACACGCCTCCGCCACGTCGAGCGCGTTCGTGTATTGGTGGAATAGAGCACACAGACGCGTGCCCGAGAGCAACACTAATAAAAGTATAATAAAAGTTACCAAGACAGAAGTGCGGCGTACGGTACTATTTGTTTGGAGGGAGGTTGGAGGCACTCATACAGGCGAGGGAGAGGCTGTGTTGGCGCGGCCTGCCAGTTTACCGTTGCGAGGCGCGTTGTGCGGCCGGACGCTGGACCGTCACCCGCGCGCCGCCGGCACCCCGAGCCCCAAAGCTTCGGTTTGCGCCTTGACAGGCACCAACCACCCTGGCCTATACACCAGGACTTTAAGTTCAAGCGCTGTGTACACGAGGGGTGTTGACGAACTATATTAACCGTCTCTAACATAGAGAAGTGCTACCCGTGCTTATTTCACTGAAGTGCTAATCCGATTTCTTATTCTATTTTGGATCGTTCCTCCACTGGCAAAGGTAAGTCTAACGCAGTTCTTAAGCCCTATTGGCAAATAATAGTTAATAGTTTAGAAAGAGATCTTAAGATTAGTCTATAACGACTTGTTATTTTCTCTATGTAAACGCACACATGTACATATGTTAAATGACTAACACCTATACAATAAATTAACCAATAAGAATAAATTCACTTTGAATTTTAATAGCTGTGTCTCTCGGTATTGTTTCTTAAATCCTATTCGTAAATTTGATTGTAGTTTCAACACGTAACCAAAACGATTACATGGTAAGTTTGTATGTATTAGATTATGCATGTTATAGTTTTCTTGATTTAAAAATAAAGTACGGATAGCGAGGCAAGATACATTTAAATATACAGATTCAAATATTTTATGTTACTTCAAATAACTTAACTGCTTTACATTTTGTACTCAAGTATTTTATTGATTTTACAAAAGATTCGAAATTTCCGCATAATGTGAACAAAAATATTCACTTTTTTTAAGGTAAACTTTTGCTTCATAGACGTAACTTACTACCATCCATAGAAGGACAAAACTCTTATAATTATTGATTTAGATATTCATCGTAAAAAACCATGAAGTTTTGTGCACATTCAGGAGTCCGTAAATTGGTCGTTATTTGTTTAAGCCAGTGGCTCGGACTTTGGATCTGACACGGGTTTGTAACTCCTTGAGATACATAATTGAGCTTTGCATTTTTCTTTTCACCTACGTGCCCAAATCGTCTCAAATAATAATAGTGGCCAGTATAAAGAGAAGAGCTTACGTTTAGGGACATTACATGCGTGGTAAAACTTGGACGTCATTCGCTATCTCTGTCTCGAGTCGATCTCTTAGGCCATCTATCTCTCTCTAGTCCGTTCTTGTTGATAAATAATTTAATGGGTACCTAAGGTATTTCCGAAAATTCTAATGTTAACAATTTTAACGATTTAAGTACACAAGTGACACAGCTATAGTCTGCAAAATACCAGCGATAATATAGCGATGAAACTAAAATAAGGTTCTAAAAACTAAGTGATATTGCCACTTAGTTTTTCTTTTCTTCAAGAAGCATTTTATCCCACTTATGTCTATGCTGTATAAATAATTCATATACTTCAAATTTTATTAATTAAAAATATTTTATATTAGAATATTAATATTACATTCTTTTATTATACCATATAAATACATAGAGATTTCACTGTAATTTCTTCGTGATTGTGGTCATCACTGGTTTAGAAATTAAAGAACGTAAAACAGTGTGTAAATCTACATAAATTATGTTAATTTTGTTTTTATTGCTTAATGATTATTTCAATCGATTGTTTAACTTAACTTTAATATAACAACCTTAAAACATCAGCTCGATGTTAATATGTAATTGGATTCTTTATGGAATACGAAGAAAAACAGGATGTAACGCAGGGTCATTGGCAACAATGGATCGATTCTTGTTAAAGACAAGGTTATGTGATATAATGAAACAACTGATTAACTTTTGGCTGTTTTAAAAAAAATAGTTTAATCGGGCTTTTTTAGCTCGTTAGACATTTATCCTACCCAGCGCGTTGATGTCTTTGCCTCTTACCTTCTGTTAGGATGCGTCGAATATGCATTAAGGTATTACATTATAATTTACTTTATTATATTGGTATTTTAGAAATTCATCCATATAAGAATATGATACACTTGTGTATATTGACTTAGTTGAAGAATTATAGCTATTGAATACAATAATACCATGTACTTTTCTAAGACGTTACAAGTCCATCTTTAAATAAAAATGAATCATTATTGACAATAAAAAAAGTAATGGATGAATCTATTACCTTACAGAAAGTAAAAACTTTTGCGGACATTATCAATGTAATAATTTTAATGATGTTCGTTCTGATAAATTGGATTAGTTCCGAAATGGTACCATAGTTACCAAGTACAGTCAACGGGGTACACGAGTTAGGGTTAGCAACCCCACGGTCGCAGAAGATTGCGTCTTCTCGTATTCCCGTGTCTCCGGTCGATGTGCTGTCCGATAGTGCTGGTGTATTTGGTTTTTAGTGAGTATCCGTTCTGTTCGGGTGTCCCACATACTGCTGGCATTCCATCATCTCCCGTTTCGGTAGCAGGGGATTCCTTGCCATTGCTTCACAGCTTTTCGCTGCTGAAGTCCTAACAGTGTGAGTGTGACCTAATATTTTTCAGTCTCTTCATTATACCGTTTTAAACGAATCAGGTTATATCAAATTTTCATTAGTTCGGAAAATCTGATTTGTCCCGTAACCCCACCGATACAACACGATAACCGCAACTCGGTCTTATTTTGGCTCCACTTCATATGTGAAATTCGAAATGGTGCACATTTATATTTTCATAAAACATTCGAAATTCAAATTCAAAAATATTTTTGTGGCCGGCGTTCAAAATTCAATAGATTTCATTATGTGATAGAATTTATGACTTGACTCTTCTTAACTACTATTTAATCTTATTCACCCTAATTTCACACCAGTCGATTGCATTGCTAATCAATTTTCGTTACTGGATTGATCAATGCCACAATAAACACGATACGTAAACTGATGGATAAAGATTGATTGCATAAAATTAATAATTTTTTTATAAAATATCTGAGCAGTTTAAGCTATGTGAGGATATGAGTTACCGAAAACTCTAGTTTCGTAACTTATTTCTATGTTAATTTCGACGCCGCTATTGCTTGCACGCATGACGAACACGGCACAGTAGTTGCTAGTATGCTGACTTACTACTATTGCCTAGTCTCGATCGAGCTGTTACTAATAAAATAAAATTGTATTAAGTAACATGGTAAATAAGATTGTTTTAGACAACCAGAAATCATTACAAAGGTCCAAGAGAGCGCAGTTTTATCCCTGTTGTCGATTTCGTTCACTAAGACGTTTAAAGTTACCTTGACATATCTTGATAAAAATCGAATTAAATTAAACTTTTAATTGGCGATAAGCTTTATTAGAATTTATATATTAATTTTAGTTTGAAATTTTTAAAATGTATTGTAATTAAAAAATCTTTGGGATGTTATCATAAAAATGCTACAACACTAACTCAAAAATCCTAAGGCTTAGAAAATATTTGTTATATACTTTTTCGAATACAGTGTGTGTTACTTATAAATATAGAAACCCTACTTATAAAGATAAAAACACTGAATGCATAACATTTCGTTTTGTCAATAATTATGCGATAATTTGACGACTTCCTAAAACGGACACAACACACTAGCAAGCATGCAAAGGCGCAAGCATTTGCACATATTACTATTTCTTTGTGTTTTCATCGCGATTCATGGTAAAAGAAACATTAACAATTAACGTCTGTGTTTTTAGGGAGTATTTGCTAGGTTGACAAATGCTGTAAATGCAAAGCTACAGTATGCAAATATTTTTTACCTGTACTTGAGTTTTTTGTTGCGTGCACTCTATGCGCCTGTACCTCGCCGCCATTTAACCCAAGATGTGATGTTACGTGCTGTGGCCATGCTCGAAGCCGGGCGTACACAGCGTGAAGTTGTAGTTGCTGTCCAGTCCACCTACTCTGTTATCTGAAGAATGTGGCAACATTATCGGCTCACTTGGAATAAGGCTGAACGAGACAAGGCCGTTTTATTAGGGATATTTCCGACGGGAGCCAAAAACGACTGCTCAGCAACTAGTGGAGAGACTGCGACCGCTACACCAGGTGACTGTCAGCACCAGGGGAAGGCTGCACGAGGCTGGTTTACATTCTCGTAGGCCATTGAGGCTCGTATCTCTTCGGCGTGCTCGTCGGTTACAATAGGCACGCCTACGATGGCCGGAACATCAGTGGGCTAGTGTCCTCCTATTTTCTGATAAATCCAGGTTTTGTTTCCATCCTAACACAAGAAGTGTCCGTGTTCACCCCTAATACGGCGCAGCAATCGTTATTTGCGTAGGTATTCGCTTAGGTGGAAGAATTGTCCTGTTTTGATACGGGGCAATATGATTGGTGAAAAATTTCGCAGCGAGGTAAATTTCGCTTTCCTATGGTTGTTCCGCACAGAATTCAAACTGGGCAGGATTTCATTTTCATGCAAGACAATGTCGTTATGAAAGGTTTAAAAGTTTTAAGTACCTACGAAAGAGCATTAATTTTATTATATCGATTCGTTGCAATAAACATTTTATAGTTTACTGATAAATTGCAGCCTTACTTAATTAAAACTTAATTGCTACATAGAATCTACAATAACACATTAATTATTAATTAATCAATCTTTTTTGATAACGTTTAATCTTATTTTGGCGTAGATATATAAATAAATATGTGAAAAAATAGCATTTTTAAATTAATAAATATACATGTTTTATTGATGAATTGATGCATATATGAATAATAATAAATAAATATTTTAGGACATATTTTTACACAACGTTCTCTAGTCTCAATTTGCAACGCTTGTACTATGGGTACTAGATAACTGATAAACATACTTTTCTTTTGTAAATAAATACATATTCTACATATATATATATAAATATATATATATACACCCACACACTAGAAAAACACGATGTTCATCACACAATATTTTTCCAATACTAGGGATCGAACCCACACCTTCTGATGCACGAGGCAGGTACACTGCCCACTACGCCATTCGGGTCGAATAGCTGTATATTAAATATATGTATTTAAATGAAGTTGAAGTATTACACTTCTGCGTTTCGTGTAATGAGTTATGTAACCGGGACTCACTTTTTTCATTCAGCAACACATCTTTAACCCCACGGGTGTTGCTGATTTACATGGGCGGCGGTTATCACTTAAAAGTATCTGGTGAACCGCCAGTTTGCTTGTCACCTTCTAGCATAATAAAAATATGTATGTATGTGTATAACGATATTTTTAATT